GTGAATCCGGCGTCGTGATTGGTCGCCGCGTGGGAGAGCCGCCCGCCCGAGCTCACGGTGACCGGCAGTCGGCACCGAGCATCCAGGCAGAGCACATCGAGCCATCGGAGTCGGGGCGAGATACGGAAACACGCACCTCGGGACCTTACCACGGGCACGATGGCCGTCCGGCGCGTGCACCGTCAACAACAACAGCAAGAACAGCAGCAACGTCGTCACCGTCGTCGTGGTGCCGTACTCGTCGCGCGTGTTCTTCGTAACTTTTATCTGCACACGGAATCGAAACAGCAGCAACAACAACAACAGCAAGAGCAGCAGCAGCAGCAGCAGAAGGAGGATCGCGCGCTTGCTAAAGCATCGTGGCCACCATCGTGCGGATACGTGGCGCGCGGACTATGCGCCTGGTGCACGCAATAAGAAACGAAAGAAAAAAAAGAGAGAAAAAAAAACAAACACACACAGAAACACACACAGACGACGGGACGCACGGAAAGTTGCTGGCCGCGCGCGCTCTCGAGCTAATACGACAGACACGGGGTCCGTGGGCCACTCTAACACACGACTCTCTCTCTACCCACATCACACGTTCCACCGGTTACCTCATCCTCCTTGTCCCCTCGTTTCCACCGCCTAGTGTGTGTATCGCACCTCCTTCTCTATCTTCTCTCTCTCTGTCTCTCTCTCTCTCTCTCTCTCCTCCGTTGTGTGTGCGCCGGCCTTCCCACGCGGTCCTCGTATCTTCGCTGAGATTACGTTTCAGTTAATACGCGAAGGAAACGCGCGTCGGCCGTGTGTTGGCAGGCATCGGCTCGTTGCCGGCCCGTTTTCTTCTTCCCATTACTCTGTCTCTCTTTTTCGTGTGTCTAATATCGGTGATTATCGTTGTGGTCAAACGTGATCGTTCTCTCGTCGTTGTCCTTCAATAATACATATCGGGCCCCCCTTGTGTTTTTTGACTGGTGGTGCGTTTGTTCGGGTGTTCCGGGATTAACCGCGCGACGCTTTTCGATCCTTCGATCTTTACTTCGGTGCAACGAAGTTCTCACTCTTTTTGTGCCCCGGGGAAGAAGGAAAAAAAATTATCAGAAATAGTGTGCATTCGTACAACCGCCTAACCTCCTCCGTCGACGACGACGGTGGGCGACGGTGGTGGAGGCGAAGGTGACGGTGAACCGTTTTCTCTGTGCTCTGTGCTGTCCTTATTATATATAAATATATCTGCGTAATTTTGTGCGGCAGCAGTGAGACAGAACCACGTGTAAAAGAAGAAGAATAAGAAAAGAAAAAAGAAAAAAAAGTGTCGCGTCTCTGTCTGTGGCGTCCTTTTCTTTCATCCTCGTCGTCGTAGTCTGACGCGCGCGTGACAGAGAGAAGAGCAGCAGCAGCAGCAGCAGCAGAAACCCGCGAGATAGAGCAGCTCCGTTCCGACGGATCGTCGACGCTGGTCAAACGTGAATAGGGAACGGAAGTAGAAGCTGTGTGCTCTTTCCGTTAAATCTCGAGATAAACCGTATTTATATCGTCGTTAACCGTGATTCGGTCGTGTTACATTCCTCGGTGCGGAACTTGTTGCGACCGTGTCGAGGAGGTGCAATATTCAAAATTGCCGCCGTGTCGGCCGCCTAACCTCTCCTTGGTTCCGCGACCCGAGGCGGACACACCTCTCGTGTTAAGTCGCCGGACGACGAAGACAGGAAAGACGGTGGCCGTCGCTGGGCCAGCAATAATGCCGCACGTGAGCAGCAGCGGCGGCGGCGACGATCTCGGCAGCGAAGACGAGGTCAAGGTCTTCAAGGATGAGGGCGAGGACGAGAAGAGGTCCTCCGAGAACCTCACCGAGGAGAAAAGTTCCCTCATCGACCTCACGGAATCAGAGGTGCGTCTATGTGTGAAAAACCAAAAAAAAAAAAATAACAGCAGAAAACACAACCGTCCTCTTCTTTTGCCTACTGTTAACAGAAAAAAAAAATTCATAAATATAGATGGCTAATACGAAAAAAAAAGTAAATAAATAAATAAGTAAAGATGAATAATACACGATCGACAGGAACGACCGAACGTGTGTCCCGTTCTTTTCTCTATCTGTCTTTCCCTGTTGATCGTGATATCGGTGCACAACGTTATAGGACGCGTCTCTTCTTTGATCCACCCACTCGATCGTGACAGCCTAGTAATACACGATCGACAGGAACGACCGAACGTGTGTCCCGTTCTTTTCTCTATCTGTCTTTCCCTGTTGATCGGTGCACAACGTTATAGGACGCGTCTCTTCTTTGATCCACCCACTCGATCGTGACAGCCTAAGGATCATCGCCATTAAGTGCATGCGTGTGTTTGCAGGAAAAGGGCTCGCTCGCCGGTGGAAGTTACGCGACGACGGGCAAGACGTCTGCGAGATCCGATCTCAGCCCCGTTTTCGGTGAGTCTTATCTCTTTACTCTACACACACCGTATACGAAACAGAAGGAGAGTATAGAAAACCACGAGGTTCCTCCCATTCTTGTTCAATCACGGTCAGAAATTTCTCCAAAAGCAGAATGTGTGCAAAGTCAATTTAATCGTAAGTGAAAGATCGGATTAGGAGACCCGTTGGTTATCTCTCTCTCTATCGTACCACGATTGAACGATTTCGCGCGATAAGTTTCTCTCTGGTGAGCAGAGCAACGAATACAGACGCAGCTACTCGTAGTACATATACAAGATCGTTTAGCTATCTTAAACTTTACCTTACACGTCGTAAAAAGTTCAACGTGCAAAATACTCGCGAAAGACAAAAGGCGAGGAAAGAAACGCGATAAAAAAGGAGCGAAGATTGATCGAGAACGCGACACGGTCGAATGTCGTCGGACGTTATTCTCCCGTCGGACGTTTATCGGACAGGCCACTCTCTCGCCTATGAAATCTGATAACGTGTTATGATATTTTATGCGTGCCGTGGGGGCAGGCCCCGATTCATATAAATTAACGTCATTGTAGGTGGTTATCTTACGATCTGGTAACGTAATCTACTCTCGTGGCAAATCGCCTTTATGTCCTAATGATAATTTAGACGCCTTGCGTTCACTCTCTGCGTGTGATAGCATTAGCGAATCGAATCATCGAATCTCTTCTCCTCCACTTTCTTTCACGAACTTACTGCAACCATAAAACTTGTCTCGATCGAGGTAAACAGATTATTCTAATTGCATTTCTCGTTTATTGCGCCCGATCGTTGAAAACGAAGAACGCACCGCCGCGTGCCTTCCTGTTTCCGTTTTGGCGCGCTCCCAGCGAAAACAGCCGCGCACCGGTAAGCTCTCTACTCGTTGGAACGCGCACGTGGCTTTATTCCGCGAAGAATCGAGCGCAATTATATGTATATCGCGGTGGATATTCGCCGTGTGTGTCGAACGAAATGCGTGAATCGGTCACCCTTGTACGCGTTTTCTTCTTCTTCTTCTCGCCGTCGCTGACTTGTGTCCTTCGGCCGCGACGTCCTTTCATTCATTGTTTTTATGACAGAAAGTGTCTCGGTCGCGTAACAGTGAGAAATCCTCGGCGTACACACTCGCTTGTATTACTCAGTGACGAGAGTTGTGTAGTATTTGTTTTTATGTAATCCATTCTTTCCGTCATTTTCCCTGTGCTCCTTTTTGATTTCGAAACTGGGAGGTCGAAATTATTCCGAGAAAACGTAGCTTCGCTGTTATCACAGGGACACACGATCCCGTTTTTCTGTTCGCCTCTTCCGAGTATGCACGGCGACGTTCGAGTTCGCGGAAACGTAATAAACACAGAGGCTCGTGGACTCTCGTCCTTGTGTTTTCGTTGACGAAAATTTCGGAGCCGTTTATCGACGTTTCAAGACACAACGACCTCGTTTTCTTCTCCCTTCGTATACGTATGTCCGATACACACACACACACACACACGCGTTTATGGATTTTTCAAACGTGTGCCCCGAAGTTGGATAAATGCGTTTCTCCTCCCCTACACTCCCGCCTGTGGCCGTGGACCTGGAAACTTTGTTGTCCGTTCGAGGTTCTCGTTTTGTCGCCCGAGTGGACGAAAATAATCGTCGAAACGGGCAGAGATCTCGATAGAATGCCTCTTTGTAACATCGATGTAGCTTTGGGAATATTTTCTCTCATTTAGAAAGAAATACAAGCTGTATTTCGTAAGCTAGAGGAGATATTTCTCGTTTTGAGAAACGGTATTAACTCTTCTTCCTTTCCGTTTACTTTGAACAGCCGGATCCTTGGTAATCGAATAAAGTCTTTCCATTTAAACAAACGTTCCTCTCGTCACGATAATGGCAATGCACTTCTGGAGAGTTCGATGCATTATAAGTATTATGCGTGTGTGCACGTAACACTCTTATTCGTAAAGTATCAAGGACACATTTCTTTTTATTTTTTTTTTTTACTTGGACACGTCCAGAATCTTTTTAAATTCTCGACTATGGTCGTAGCTGCCGAAATTATTAAGGGAGAATGATCATTCGAATCGTTCGAAATTTTCGGAATTGGTGATTCCAAGTGAGAAACCGTCACAGACCCGTTCATTTTTAAAAATTTTTAACGCGAAGACCGTCGGCCTTCCGGTGGTGGCCAGAGTCCACCAAATTCAGAGGACAGACCTCTGGAGAATAGTATCTAATAGTCGACCGTGAATACAAAGGAACCTTTTCCCAATTAATTTTTCTGAAAATGATTGCTTTCACTTCACAATCCATCCAGAGTTGGAAAATCGGGCGTGGCAAATACCACTTACGCATTTCAATTTCTGTTTCACCTACTTCAGGCTGAAAGTGATAATTGTCACCGATAGAACGACGTCTTCTTCACACATATTCGACCGTTAATTTTCTCACCTTGACCAGGTGTCACTGCAATCAACGCCGACGTAATATCTCCACCAACGATCAACGTATAATTACTTCGCGATCGCTACAGAAATATCAACGACAGATTTCAGATAGGATCCTCTGTTCTTCAGAGAAACAAAAATTAAATTTCGTCACAGAGAATTTTCTCGTACAATTTCCATACCTACACTTTTCACGTTGCTCGAGTAAAATTCTTTCGTCTGTTGCACGTTCATATTTCGTACCGTGTCACACGTCACGGCAAAAAGTAATCGCAAGAACCGAAAGTAATCGGGCAGTGAACGAAGAGGGTTTGGCGGGGCGGATAGAGGAGGGGAGGACAGGCGAAATCGAATTGGCGTTGGTTAAAAGCGAAAAGGGTTTTCGGCGAGAAACCGCGGGCAAAGTTAATCCCAATTTGCCGGGGGAAATTGACCGAAGTTTACGGAACGCTATTATTCTCGCGACAGGTTTGAAACAAATTGTAACTCGTTAGCGCGACGGTATATACAATGAAACGCGCCGGAATTTCTCTCTCTCTCTCTTACCCTTGGCCCTCTCCTATTCCGACAGACTTTGTCACTGACAAATCGATGTCGTGACGCCGTACACGCTGTCACCGTGTTGCCAAAACACTTTAACGAGCTACGCCTGTGATTCTACGACGACTTACCTGACGCCTCGGATTTAGACACCGTGTATGCGATCAAAGGATTTGGAGAAATGCTCGGAACTTCGTTCCACCCCCCTTTTTCTTCCTCTTTGTTTTAATCCTTTTAATTCGAGACACTCTTCGTGGCATAAAACAAGGTCTTCCCCGTTTCTAACACATACGAGTCGATCGTAAGCGATTCTAGCGTTGGTGACAGTGTCGGTTGAAAGTTCGATCAGGATGTGTGGGATGAGATATTCAAACTTTTGAAGAAGTTTCGTAAAATATTCGTTCTTGTAACATAAATCTTTTCTGCAATTGTGAAATTGTACGAATTTGTGAGAAAATGTGCTTGTCGAAATCTCAAGTGATTTAGATCATTTTCAAAATTCAATTATTTTGCAAAAATTCCTCTATATTATAATAACTGACGAGTTCAATTTTTTTAGATTTTTAACTTCATTTTCATAATCACCCCCAAAAAATGCAATTTTTTCGTCACACCTCGACCATAATCTCCGCCACAAGTGTGACTCGCCGTTATAAGGCAAAGGGTTGAGCAGAAATCGTCGCTGAAATTTCAAATTAAAACTCGATATCACCACTAGTTCGAAACTTGTTGCCGGACCATTTAAAAAAGGGTCGAAATCAATCTATTCTCATTTATTCCCTCCAAACAGTTTATTTTTCCTCCTTCGATTGAATTTACCCAGGGAGAGACGCTCGAGGTTTCAGATAATCTCGGCACGATAACGGGTAATCGGGCGAGGCCGCGATTATATTGATCGCGGCTTTTATCGATGGTCAGTTGTCACTTTAAGACGAGTTATCGTTGATCTTGGTAATCGTTTGTTTGTTATACGCCGGCCGTTCCATTGCAGTTCTACACGTAATAATTCATCGTTCCTTGTGTTAACCATCCAGTTTGTGTATCGACGTACCGACGATAGTTTTCGCGAAAATTACTCGTTGTCAAACGTGCACATAGGTCGCTTCTCTGTGAATAACGCTAACTCGTAGAACATAGTAATATTTTAATCACACGTCTGATTTACCGCGACACGTTAACCCCGGCCGTGCAATAACGTCTAATTGCTCCGAATGACGTATAAATTGTTGCAATAAAATCACCGTTGGAATTTATCGCCCGGCAAAGCTGCTCGATATACATCATACCTTAAGTAAACACAGAGATCTTTCGTTGTTGCAATACTCGCTTCTGTCCCAACGTTCGAGATTTCTCGCGAAACGATCGAATCTAATAATGTGAAATTGTACGTACGTCTCCTAAAAAGCTCGTAAAGTCAGGTGACACACGTTTTCAAATCGGGCCGACGTGATACACACGGTCCACGCACATCAGAAAAGCGTAAACGAATCCGTGGAGTGTTAAATCATTGTAATTTATCTTGTCTGAACGGTAGCGACGCGCGGCGAGAGGCAGCCTCGTGTGGCACGACACGAAAATCACTTTCTGTGACGTACAATTACGTGCAAATAACGCGGCGGATCAAGAATTCGTTGCACCCGCGACGTGTACGAGGAGAAGGGGGAGAGGGAGAGGAACGTGCAAAATATTACGTCGGGATCCGTCGTAATCGCTTAAGTGGTTAATTATGGTGCTTCGAGGAAGGCTAGAGGAGGCCGAGGTGGGATTAATCTTGGCATCAATTACTTCACTCTGGACCACTTCTTCTTTTTTTTTCCCCTTCGTTGTCTCCTTTTTTCGTTCGTTCTACGTTCTTGCGTTCGCTGAAACTAGTTTTCCGCCGCTTGTTGAATGGCGCGCGAGATGCGTCCAATATTTTTTCCCCATTCATTAGAGGCTGTTGTTGCTCGCGATATCTTCCTCTCTCCACGAACAGCCTTCGCGTATTTTTGCAGGCTCGTTAAGACGAGTTTTATCCTCCCGAAGGATCCG